AGGTGCTTTTTTCAGCTTGGGAGTGGTTAAAAGATTTCTTTATTGGAGAGCTGTTTCTCATCTTTATTTGAAATGATTTATGAGTGGTAAAGTATCTGTGGAATTTGGTTATCCTGATAAATACTCAGATAACTAGGATATTAAAGGAGTAAACAAGAACTTTAAATCTCCTTTATTAACCTGTTGTAAGTTATTGCTTTTTTAACCAAAGGGTTTCCAGACATTGAAGTGAAATTCATCTCCTTTTGATTGTAAATACAATGTGTAGATTTTTATTATGCTATATATATCAAGAGTTTAGCCTTAGGCAATCATGGACCTACCATACATCTTGCAATTCCTTGTCTTTTTTATAATACATCTACAGTGGGTAAAATACATCCTAGATTATATCAATGAAACTGATAAAGAATAAGGTCATCAGGTGCTTTTACATATGTATTTCTTAAAGCATTTATAAACTTACAAGTTGAAATCCTAGTTGGAAATCTTATCATCTCAGAAAATTTATCTTTGAAGGCAAACTTTTTTGCCTTATAGTTATAAATATATCTTACTTTTGTAGAAAACAGACTGATTATCTCTTCCATTTGCAAAACTTCAATGTTTTTTGCATATATTTCGAATTGAAATTAAAATTAAATTTTACTAGGTTATTTAGTTTTTTCTTACTTTTAAACAATTTAACATTTTCAATTTCTTTTCAAAAAACCCCAAACCGATTTCAATGAAATTTTGCTGAAATCTTCCTTGGCCAAAGATGAACCTAAAAAGTAAATTATATGGTCCTCACTCTACATGGGCCTGAGGATAGGGGGCCAAAAGGATCAAACTGACTCCGATTTCAAAACTTTTCTCAACACCCAGATATGGTAGAATCAAAAGCTCTTCATGGATGGAAGCATTTTAAGGTGCTGTACCAAAATTTCAAACTTCATGGCACCAGGGTCTAACATTTCCTGGTAGGTAGGGGGTAAATTTGACTATAGTTTATAGGCGTCTTATATGGCATTATGATTATCTAATCACTCAAATAATCCGTTATCAAGAACAGAAGTGAACAGCTTACACAGACAAATTACTAATAATCCGTTATTAAGAACAGAAGTGAACAGCTTACACAGACAAATAACTAATAATCCGTTATTAAGAACAGAAGTGAACAGCTTACACAGACAAATTACTAATAATCCGTTATTAAGAACAGAAGTGAACAGCTTTCACAGACAAATTACTAATAATCCGTTATTAAGAACAGAAGTGAACAGCTTTCACAGACAAATTACTAATAATCCGTTATTAAGAACAGAAGTGAACAGCTTACACAGACAAATTACTAATAATCCGTTATTAAGAACAGAAGTGAACAGCTTACACAGACAAATTACTAATAATCCGTTATTAAGAACAGAAGTGAACAGCTTACACAGACAAATCACTAATAATCCGTTATTAAGAACAGAAGTGAACAGCTTACACAGACAAATCACTAATAATCCGTTATTAAGAACAGAAGTGAACAGCTTACACAGACAAATTACTAATAATCCGTTATTAAGAACAGAAGTGAACAGCTTACACAGACAAATTACTAATAATCCGTTATTAAGAACAGAAGTGAACAGCTTACACAGACAAATTACTAATAATCCGTTATTAAGAACAGAAGTGAACAGCTTACACAGACAAATTACTAATAATCCGTTATTAAGAACAGAAGTGAACAGCTTACACAGACAAATTACTAAGATTATGTCTCTATAGTTATTAGCATCATCAGTGTTGCCTTTCTTATGAAGAAGGATTATAACACCACATGACCAACATTCTGGGAAAATCTTCCAGTGAAAATCAAACTCAATGAAATAATCTTGTACCAAAGTATTTTTGGTATTTACAAAATATTCAACAATTTATCTATACCTGGAGACTTATTAACTTTTCACTGTTTAATGACCTTCAAGATTTCTTCATGTTCTAGCTCAGGAAAAATGCATTCATCAGGATTATATTCATCTACACTACTATCATTATTCTCAACTTTAAAAAAACTTTAAAGTGTGCATAAAAGCTGTTTACTGACAACTTTGTAGTAGCATTTTTCTTCTGTTAAATAACTGATAAAATTGTTTAGGGTTAGCTTTACGCATGTACATTGATCTATAACCTTCTTGTGTTTTAAATATTTTTTCATCTGATGTTCATATCTCTAAATCTATAAAAAAAGGTGCTTATTTTCTACTTACCGGTAAATACTTTTTTTCTGGAGTGTGTAAAAAATTGAAGCTCTCTAGAGTTTTCCTATTCCTTCTGTACAAAAACGTACAATGGCCGTCAAACCGTAGTTTGTCATTTATAACATTGTGACTGTGTTATTATGTTATTACTCTGGTTAGAAGTTAGCCGTAACATGGGATAATTATACTCATCAAGGATAACCTTGTTAATTTTGTTTGTGTTTTCGAAACAATTTTTGACTTGATAATATGGATAAAGATGTCCAAAAATTGTATTTCTACAGATACGTTCTTGTTTTATACGTGTTTGCCCACTATATATGTCTCATTGTATTGAAAAATACAGCCCCTTTGGGTCTATTATGTTAGTTCATGATCTCAATAGGCAAACAGGTAATGAACCTGTATTAGAAATATATTATTGGAAAACCCCCTCAGTTTTCAAGGCTATTTCGTCCTTAAATGTACTAAACATTAAAGAATCATTTAGATCATGGGCTATATATATTGTATATTGAATCTGTTATAAGAGAACCATTCTCTATGCATTGTGCTATTGTGTATTGTACTGATGGGTCAATGACCTAAAGTTTTGAGTAAATCTTGAATCTAGCTGTAGGTCATGTTAAACTTACAAATGTATAGCAATGATAATGTCTGGATCCTGGCTGAAAATTAACTGATAGTGAGAGTAAAGATAACATCGGGTGGCATACAGCCATAAACAGGGGATAGGTTGTCATTGAGTTGGATATGTACAGGAAACATACAAGTTATACCTGGATCTTACCAGATAGGATAGATGTGACATCATGCATTATGTTTCTTTGTTTCTTTATCAGACCTTTGTCAGTAGCCAAGAAACACTTGTCAACAGCAGTAGTTGTCCGTTAATATTTCATGTATGGTATGTACTAGGGGTATTTGTTAGGATACATCTCTGTGAATGTAAAACTTTTACACATTCACTATGGAATAAGCAAACGATAACAACATATGATTCATTATACAAGTGTGGGGGTGAGGGCGAGGCTTATGTTTGGATGAACCTACCTGGTCATGCGCCTTATTGTCAGGATAAATATGGTACATGTTATAAAATGAAGTCATCCAACAGTATCCAATGTAGGATGAAGATTGACTGCATAATGTGAAGTCAGATGTCTCAAAATATAAACATGCTGTGGTATGAAGTTTTGTCTGTATATTCATAAGTAAATGTAATTACATTTACAGTTCTTTTGCAGTTCTGATATTTTCAGTTTCAAGTTATTAAAAATTAAAAAAAAGACGCCAATTTTCCTGACCTAGATATCTTTTTCTGTGGTCATGTGGCTATTGCTAGAATTACTTGCAGAAGATAGGAGAAAGTACATTGTCAAATTTAGAACTGTGTCGGCATGATGAAATTGATACTGACAGAACTGTGTTACTCAGTAAATGAAGCATTACTATTCTATGCTTGTCTTGGCATCTAGATGTATGCTTGTATTTCATACAGTGTTAGCTGATAAAAATATTTCTTTCATGAATTCCTCCCAGCAACAGACAGCCAATAACAGTGTGACAAAGTGACAACTTAAATATGTATTTAAAACTTATACATGGCAGCAAAGTACTAACACTGACGGTTCACCTTTCTGATGTACAGTAGACAGGATTGATAATAGTAGATAAGAATTATCTGCCCCTTCCTTCCCCACTGGAGCCTTGTAAACAATCAGCCACAACAGCTTGGATGGATTTTTTCCACCGACTTGTTAGCTTGATTTAATTTTTTTTTGAGATTTGGTTTTGCAATATAGCTTAGAATTTATTAGTGTTTTTTAATGATTCTTATGTCCAGTATATATATAATATATACTATTATTCAAAATTTACTGTATCGTAAATATTCTTCTTCGTCAGAAATTTTTTAAAGCTGACACTTAAAAATATTGTGTTGAGGCAGACATACTTTAATTTGTCATCTTGATCTATTGTACTGATACATGTATTCATACACTTGAACTTAAAATAGATTTAAACATTCCATGGTAAGCATATTTCCAGTTCATCATTTTCAGATGGTGCACTTGATCGCTGGTCATGTAAATTTTCAGTGCAATTATTAAACAGAGGAAAAAGTTTAACCTCATCAGTTAAGTTGACTATGCATTTAATGACTAGGTTCTTGAGACTGAATCCCATGGTGCCATTTCACACTGAATGCAACACATGCTTCTCACATGTGTGAGATTCTCACCAAATCTCTATACTCTTCTACAACAGTTTATCTACAGATTTGGCACAACATACATACACATTTTGTGAAGAAGCTAATTATTGAAATTTACAACTATCATCTTCCAAATTTTCAGATTATAACACATAATTGACTGATTGAGGTTGATCCCGTTGGATATGCATGGAAGCCAGGAATTTTGTAATGTTGGAGATATATCACCATTTTATATTTCACCGTCTTGGAACTTTTAAATTATTTTCAGCTGATTTCAAAATTAGCTAAAGCTGGTGGGGTATTTAATGATATACTTTCAGCAAAATAATCACATAGGTAGCTTGTTATTATTTCTTTATCAAGTCTCATGTGATGATGTTATGTAATTTGTAAATACACCCAGCTTAGTATAACATATTCTTGATACACGATAATCATGTGAGGAATGATTGTACCGTCAGTTAATGTAACTATACAGAAGTCCTGATGAATGATGATAACCTTTGATTATCACATAAGAATATTTTCAATAATCCTGTTTATTAAAAGTATTTTACACCTTGTCCACTGACATCGTTGATTGTTTGCAGCTATTTGTTTGAGATATTATAGTGTAAATGGAGACTGACAGATGGCATGTGTATAAAGATTTAATGGAATATCATCAATTTCTTATCAACAACTGTGCTCATTTCTCACACTGAAGCCAACACTGGGAGATGTGCTGTCCAAACTGTCTGTGCTGCAGACAATTGTTGTTCGTCATTCAAACTGGATATGTATTTCTATGAATTCCAGAAGGAGACTCCGTCTGACCAGCAACTTCACCTGGCGGCACTCCAAGGAAACTTCGACCTCCTCAAACGTGTCTTGGACAGTGGAAAAGTACATGTTGACTGTAAAGACAAGGTAGGTGGATATTTTATTGTGTCATCACCATGTGTAGTACATGTAGGTTGCTAGCCATGACAACCCATTTAGCAGTATATTGTGTAGTTGATTTTCTTTAGGATACGACAAGTTCTCTAGTATGCTTGTCAGTTCTGATGAACAAATGTATACTCAGCCACACCAATTAAACAGTGTTATATAGTGTGTGTTCTTGTTAACAGAATGTGTGTGTTCTTGTTAACAGAATTTAAAATCATTGACTTTTCAAATATTTGTGGTTTTTCAAAAAAAAAAAATTTACATTGGCACCTGATTTCGTTGATAAGTAGTGTTCATGATATCAACATTGCTTACTAAAATTTAGGACAATTTTAATTGGATATAATTTCATGGACTTGTGAATTCGTGGATAACGAGTTTTTACGAAAATGAATTACACTGATGATTATGACTGATTTTACAATACCAGTAACAACTGTGATCATTCTGAATATTACAGCTGTTTGTTAGTACTGTACATCAAGGTAAACACATGTTTGGGTTATCTGTTACTAAATAAGGATGTAGGTATCCAAATGACTAAAAAGTATCTTTGATGATCTGTAGAAAATTTAGAATTTTCGTGATCACATATGTTACATCACAAGTACCTCAGATCAGATTTTACAATCACTGACTGCTTGTCATGTAGATAATTTTGTCTTGACTTTAAGCATACAGATATAGTTTAATATAGATATAATATTTGGATGTGCTACACAAAAATGATGTCAGAGATTGCTAATAAAAAATTAAGACATATTCTGAGCAGGTTATTAAAACTTAAAAAAAATACGGTATGTCTACTAGTTTCTAACCAGGAATAAAAACATAAAATTTCAACCCTTACATACTACAGCTGTGGGCACATTTCACACCTTTACTTTATCACGTCACCAATAATGCCAAATAAGGAACAAATACATCTTGCATTGATAATGTTATAAAATATCAACAATATCTGTGGGCTTTATGAGAGTGTCATTCAATATCTTCTGTTATGAAGTCAGCATCCTTCACGGTTATAAAAAGCACATCAGAAATTATCTAGATTAGCTCAATTTTCATCCGTTTGATATCTTCTGTACTGTTGAGGTTAGGTGAACTGCCATGCTGGTAGCTTGCTGCTTTTTTTTTCACTTTTGGACCTGTAGTTTGTCCTCTAGTTGTTTAGGTATATTGTAATAGGTTGAAATTACTGTATTTTTTTCATTTTTGTTTGAATGTAGAAAGGCATATGATAATGAAATATTTACAGATTGAAATGCAGTGCATTCTATACATATCTTTTCCCAAGGAAATAAACCAGTTTTAGGTATTTAAATGATTTTCATAAAATTAAACTGTTGTTTGATAAAAAGCAGATTACTATTCTTTAAGTATTTAGATATATAGTCTAATTAAGGACATCAATACTTTAAAATGTAAATAGATATCACTACCATACACAATAAGGTAGATCTTTGCTGAAAATTAAATTCTTCATATCTTAAAATTTAACAATGAAAGTATAAGTGAAGGAAAAGGATAAAATTACACTGTCTGAATTACATCTGAATTTGTGTAACTTCGAATTTAATTTCATGATTTGTATTTCTGAATTGAGCTCTCAGCCATCTAAGTGGTTAATGATAATGATGCTATTGATATAGTGGTATAGCTTTGCAGCACTTCTTACCTGAATGAGATTGGGAGTACCCCAGGTTACAGTCAATTAAAGTGGAGATTTTCAGCAGAGAACTTGTAATGTAAAAACTAAAAATAAAAACATTTGACAGAGGAAGCTTCAGTAATATGATACTTTTGGGAGAATTTCTTAGAATTTTCACAACGTTCTCTTGACTAAGGATCAAATACTTTCAGGGACAAAGAAAAATATATTGTAGGATTGAAATATATTGATAAATTTCTAGAGATAAGCTTTAGACACTGATGGATTCTAATTCATATTGTATTTGTAGTAAGCAAGTTGACATACCAGTGATGTGAACATGTCACAAACTAATCTCTTGTATTTAGGTATGAAACATAGTATAAGTAAGATGGGTATACTTACTTTACTTACTTAGATTGACCAAGATTTACATAGCGTGTGTTGTCAATGAAGCAGAAGGCACTCACCCTTCTAGAACATATGGTCTTATTTTCCTTGTTCTTTTTCAATGGTCTGTTTGTTTCATTCTGATTTGTCCATAGTTTCGCAGAATTTGTGTCAGAATGATGATTCTGTTGACATGTAAGTAGATTAATAATTTTTCACTTGCCAGAACATGTACAAATAATGTAAACAGAAGTTGTTATCCTTCTTTTTTTCATAAATAAGCATTCATGAAAGAATTGTATGTATAAAGTGTGTACATGTATTCAATAAAAACATTTGGAAGAAATTGATGAACATTACCTGTTTCTTGAGCAGAAAAGCCAAGGTCATCCTATACTGTAAACTGACTTATTTTGGTGCACTAGCACGATATCAATTATGTGATAACAAAATCATGCATTCACAGCAATTGTTAAAGTAACATCATGCAGAAACACAAATTTGCAAAATTTTAGTGCAATATCTGTAGAGCAAACATTAACATAAGATAACCACTAATATATTTATGTTTATTGTATATGAAGAGGAAATCTTCAACCAAGTATCAAAGCATATGAAGTCAGGGATTAAGATTAGAAAATAAGTAGGTAAAGGGATTATTTTGTAAATTTTACCTTTTTTCATAATATATGTTTATGAAATAGATGTGACTGTTTGATTGTGTCTTTCATATATACGATGAAACATTTTAGCTGAATAGTTCAGTGCAGATACAAGTTTAATGAAATGTATGGTTGATATGAGTCAAAGCATATGGCCTTTAGAATATTGTAAATTAACGTACGTCATGGAGATCTTCTCACCGCTATAGCTGACAAGATACCAAATCATGCCCTTTGTTCAGTAGAACTTTATTAAAAAAATATGTTAAGTTTTAATGTTAAAAGTCACGAAGCCAGACATTTGCTCTACACAGAAACACATGTCTTTTTATTGAAAAACAGATGTTGAATGCTGTGTGGAAATATTTTTGTGGAAAATGTGCTGCACTTCAGATGATTTAATTGTTGTTCCATTTCTATACGGGAATGCTCTCAAGTGTTTAGATCAGACGAGAGATATGTCTCTTCTTAGATTATAGAGACTGTATTATCCAAATAAACACATTGATCTGGAGGACTGGCAGGTTCATGGTGATCCTGTCAGTGGAGCCTGTGTAATGGTCCCACTTAGGGAAGCTGTGTGGCGGTCCCTGTCAGTAGAAGCTCTTGGTGGTCCCTGTTGTTAGAGGTTTTGTAGTGGTCCCTGTTATTGGAGATTTTGTAGTGGTCCCTGTTATTGGAGGTTGTGTAGTGGTCCCTGTTATTGGAGGTTGTGTAGTGGTCCCTGTTATTGGAGCTTTTGTAGTGGTCCCTGTTATTGGAGGCCATGTAGTCATCGCTGTCAGTGGAAGCAGTTTTGTGGTCTCTGTTAGTGGAGGCCTGGTAGTGGTCCCTGTCAATGAGGGTGGTGTAGTGGACCCTGTTATTGGAGGCTGTTTGGTGGTCCCTTTTAGTGGAGGCTGTTTGGTGGTCCCTGTTAGTGGAGGCCTGGTAGTGGTCCCTGTTAGTGGTCCTGTAAATGGGGGTTGTGGAGTGTTCCCTGTTAATGGAGATGGTGTGTGGTCCTGATTAGTGGAGGTTGTGTATAGGTCCCTGTGAGTGGAGGTTGTGCGTGGTCCCAGTTAGTGGAAATTGTGTAGAGGACCCTGTTATTGGAGGCTGTTTGGTGGTCCCTGTTAGTGGAGGCCTGGTAATGGTCCCTGTTAGTGGAAAATTTGTAGTAGCCCCTTGTAGTTGAGGCTATGTGGTGGTCCCAGTTTGTGGAGGTGGTGTGGTGGTCCCAGTTTGTGGTGGTGGTGTGGTGGTCCCTGTAATGGGGGTTGTTGAGTGTTCTCTGTTAATGGAAATGGTGTGTGGTCCTGATTAGTGGAGGTTGTGTAAGGTCCCTGTGAGTGGAGGATGTGCATGGTCCCAGTTAGTGGAAATTGTGTAGTGGTCCCTGTCAAAGGAGGCTGTATGGAGGTCCATGTTAGTGAAGGTTGTGTAGAGGTCCCTGTTATTGGAGGTTGTGTAGAGGTCCATGTTAGTGGAGGTTGTGTTGTGGTCCCTGTTATTGGAGGTTGTGTTGTGGTCCCTGTTAGTGGAGGTTGTATAGAGGTCCCTGTTAGTGGAGGTTGTGTTGTGGTCCCTGTTAGTGGAGGTTGTGTTGTGGTCCCTGTTAGTGGAGGCCTGGTAGTGGTCCCTGTCAATGGAGGCGGTGTAGTGGACCCTGTTATTGGAAGCTGTTTGGTGGTCCCTGTTAGTGGAGGCTATTTGGTGGTCCCTGTTAGTGGAGGCCTGGTAGTGGTCCCTGTTAGTGGAAGATTTCTAGTAGCCCCTTGTAGTGGAGGCTATGTGGTGGTCCCAGTTTGTGGAGGTGGTGTGGTGGTCCCAGTTTGTGGAGGTGGTGTGGTGGTCCCTGTAAATGGGGGTTGTGGAGTGTTCCCTGTTAATGGAGATGGTGTGTGGTCCTGATTAGTGGAGGTTGTGTATAGGTCCCTGTGAGTGGAGATTGTGTGGTGGTCCCTGTTATTGGGGTTTCTGAGAGGTCTCTGTTAGTGGAGTTTGTGTAGAGGTCCATGTTATTGGAGGTTGTGTAGAGGTCTATGTTAGTGGAGGTTGTATAGAGGTCCCTGTTAGTGGAGGTTGTGTTGTGGTCCCTGTTAGTGGTGGTTGTGTTGTGGTCCCTGTTAGTGGAGGTTGTGTAGTGGTCTCTGTTAATGGAGATTGTGTTGTGGTCCCTGTTATTGGAGTTTGTGTAGAGGTCTCTGTTAGTGGAGTTTGTGTAGAGGTCCATGTTATGTGGAGGTCCCTGTGTGGAGGTTGTATAGAGGTCCATGTTATTGGAGGTTGTGTAGAGGTCCCTGTTAGTGGAGGTTGTGTAGAGGTCCCTGTTAGTGGAGGTTGTGTTGTGGTCCCTGTTAGTGGAGGTTGTGTTGTGGTCCCTGTTAGTGGAGGTTGTGTTGTGGTCCCTGTTAGTGGAGGTTGTATAGAGGTCCCTGTTAGTGGAGGTTGTATAGAGGTCCCTGTTAGTGGAAGCTGTTTGGTGGTCCCTGTTAGTGAAGGCTATTTGGTGGTCCCTGTTAGTGGAGGCCTGGTAGTGGTCCCTGTTAGTGGAAGATTTGTAGTAGCCCCTTGTAGTGGAGGCTATGTGGTGGTCCCAGTTTGTGGAGGTGGTGTGGTGGTCCCAGTTTGTGGAGGTGGTGTGGTGGTCCCTGTAAATGGGGGTTGTGGAGTGTTCTCTGTTAATGGAGATGGTGTGTGGTCCTGATTAGTGGAGGTTGTGTATAGGTCCCTGTGAGTGGAGTTTGTGCGTGGTCCCAGTTAGTGGAAATTGTGTAGTGGTCCCTGTCAATGGAGGTGGTGTAGTGGACCCTGTTATTGGAGGCTGTTTGGTGGTCCCTGTTAGTGGAAGATTTGTAGTAGCCCCTTGTAGTGGAGGCTATGTGGTGGTCCCAGTTTGTGGAGGTGGTGTGGTGGTCCCAGTTTGTGGAGGTGGTGTGGTGGTCCCTGTAAATGGGGGTTGTGGAGTGTTCTCTGTTAATGGAGATGGTGTGTGGTCCTGATTAGTGGAGGTTGTGTATAGGTCCCTGTGAGTGGAGATTGTGTGGTGGTCCCTGTTATTGGGGTTTCTGAGAGGTCTCTGTTAGTGGAGTTTGTGTAGAGGTCCATGTTATTGGAGGTTGTGTAGAGGTCTATGTTAGTGGAGGTTGTATAGAGGTCCCTGTTAGTGGAGGTTGTGTTGTGGTCCCTGTTAGTGGTGGTTGTGTTGTGGTCCCTGTTAGTGGAGGTTGTGTAGTGGTCTCTGTTAATGGAGATTGTGTTGTGGTCCCTGTTATTGGAGTTTGTGTAGAGGTCTCTGTTAGTGGAGTTTGTGTAGAGGTCCATGTTATTGGAGGTTGTGTAGAGGTCCCTGTTAGTGGAGGTTGTGTTGTGGTCCCTGTTAGTGGAGGTTGTGTTGTGGTCCCTGTTAGTGGAGGTTGTATAGAGGTCCCTGTTAGTGGAGGTTGTGTTGTGGTCCCTGTTAGTGGAGGTTGTGTTGTGGTCCCTGTTAGTGGAGGTTGTGTTGTGGTCCCTGTTAGTGGAGGTTGTATAGAGGTCCCTGTTATTGGAGGTTGTATAGAGGTCCCTGTTAGTGGAGGTTGTATAGAGGTCCCTGTTAGTGGAGGTTGTGTTGTGGTCCCTGTTAGTGGAGGTTGTATAGAGGTCCCTGTTAGTGGAGGTTGTATAGAGGTCCCTGTTAGTGGAGGTTGTGTTGTGGTCCCTGTTAGTGGAGGTTGTGTTGTGGTCCCTGTCAGTCTGTATTATATTTCTTATTTGGTGTCTAGGTTGTACAGCAGAATTTGTTGTGGAGTGAAAATGTTCACATGGAAATGGGAACAGACAACACTGAGAAACTCGTAATGCTGTTTACTGTATTACAATGTTTAATAAAATGTTTACTTTTTACTCTAAAAATATATATCGGGTGATATGTAATTATCTGTATGTTGTTCTATTTCAAACATAGTTTTGATCATGATTTCTTTTCCAAGCATCACCTTGATCTCGGTACGCACGTATATATAGTGTATAGGTAGAAAGAAAGTTCTCGTTGAAACTTGGGTTTGAAGGTTTGATCAGATAAATCATAGAAGGGTTATGTTGATACAAAACATCTGAGTCTATATTGCAGTAATCTCAATCTAAGATCTCCAAAATATATTGACTCTGAATGTTGGCTGATTCAATGAAGATGTGGTGTTCAGACATGTTTTTAAGATATTCTAAATATTACTACTACGTAAATGATAAAAACATACATTGGTAAAGTATGAACAGCAAAGAGCAAGGCAATGTATACATATTACAAGCTACTGGTATGTTTGGCTTTGCCTTCAATAACAAAATTATCCACACAAAAGTGGTAATTTTGTACAAAGATGCCTTTACGTAGGTACAGGACATATTCACAACTCTGTAAGTCTGCTGCAACATCAGTGTGAAGCCTTTGTATTTGTAGAAGACAGTGTTTGAGCAATACCCCAGGAGAGTAACAATTTTGATCAAAAGGCATATTTCTGTGTGTAGTTGGATGGGCACTGTTATACTTTGAAATACATGTATTGTCATATACAATTTGGCAATTGTAGGTCGAACAGAATATTTGAAATGTACCATGCAGAAAAGTGAAGCACACACAGTGCAGAAACTACCCACCTCTAAACACAAAAATCATGGTTGATTCAATGTCAAGTATTATTTAAACATAAGAAAACAGGGAGTAAACATTTGAGAAAAAGGATGGAAAATTTGAAAACCATAGTTTTTGTCTTGAAATGGATGCAGTTAATTATTTATCTTTTAAAGAGTCCCCAGTAGTTTACACTTTGAATAATCATAACTTAAAAACTGTAGGTACATGCCAGATCTGGGTTGATGATTATAATCATAATCAAATACTGTATAGCACAGGAACTTTACAAGAATTCCCAATTCAATATACATGTGTATATATGCAGAGCCTAAGGTTAGGAATTAGTGACAAGTCCCTGTGGTATATTGTGATGCCTGCCTATGAAGACAGAACCTAGGGTTAGGAATTAGTGACAAGTCCCTGTGGTATATTGTGATGCCTGCCTATGAAGACAGCAGCATATAGATATATATGCAGAACCTAGGGTTAGGAATTAGTGACAAGCTCCTGTGTTATATTGTGATGCCTGCTTATGAAGACAGAACCTAGGGTTAGGAATTAGTGACAAGTCCCTGTGGTATATTGTGGTGCCTGCCTATGAAGACAGAACCTAGGGTTAGGAATTAGTGACAAGTCCCTGTGGTATATTGTGATGCCTGCCTATGAAGACAGCAGCATATAGATATATATGCAGAACCTAGGGTTAGGAATTAGTGACAAATCCCTGTGGTATATTGTGGTGCCTGCCTATGAAGACAGAACCTAGGGTTAGGAATTAGTGACAAGTCCCTGTGGTATATTGTGATGCCTGCCTATGAAGACAGCAGCATATAGATATATATGCAGAACCTAGGGTTAGGAATTAGTGACAAGCTCCTGTGTTATATTGTGATGCCTGCTTATGAAGACAGAACCTAGGGTTAGGAATTAGTGACAAGTCCCTGTGGTATATTGTGATGCCTGCCTATGAAGACAGAACCTAGGGTTAGGAATTAGTGACAAGTCCCTGTGGTATATTGTGATGCCTGCCTATGAAGACAGCAGCTAGTGCATGTCACCTACTGATGTTATTGTTATCTCCCTTGGCTTGTCACCGTGTAGTTATATTTTATCACTCAGTATTACAGAGATAGTATTGATGCATATACTGGTGTATTCTTGACCAAATTACCAGTAATGAAGATGGTTGACAGAAATCCTGTATTGTATGGAACTCATAGTGAAAGGAGATGATCAAAAAATTTTCAGTTACACACATCCTTAAGTTTGTAAATAGCCCAGCAATTCTGAGTAGTTCTACATATCAAAGTTTCTGCTATCCATAAACACTACACAGCTGCTACAGGGACGAAGCTGATATCTAAATCTCCCCATACAATAATGATTGTCAGTGATGGTAGGAAGCAAATTTGTAAAAACTTTCATTTATATAAAGTACAGAAAGTTATAGCCAGTGCATGTAATTTAGACAATGCTGTTGTTTGAAAGGGCTGAACATTATGTCATTACTGAACTGTTTGTGGTCAGAGAGATGTTGAACAGCTGTTAATAAAGAAAATTGCTGTAGTATTTTTTATATGCCTATATCCAGTGAGAGTAATTCAAATAAATTTTGTTTGTTTGCAGGAAGGAACCACTCCCTTAATACTTGCTGCGGCCAATAATCATCTAGACTGTGTAAAAGAATTATTGAAACAAGGTGGAGATCCAGCAGCAAGAAGATTGGTGAGTTACTTCCCTTGATTAATTTATTTTTAGCACTGTCACTAAAAGGATTAGTTGGTGTATTGGATAGCACGAATGGAATTCAAGTATGTCAGTATCTTTTAGTAAATAAGGTTAAGAATTATACCTGATTTATTTTATTTATTTCAGACGGGAACATGTGCTCTGTTTTTTGCTGCCCAAGGAGGATTTCTAGATATTGTTAAAGTGTTATTAGACAGTGGCGCACCCGTGGATATTTCAAGTTATGTGAGTATGCTGTTTTTATGTTTATTCTCCCCTGTCAGTTAAAATATCTAAATAAAACACACAACATTCCAAAGGATCTTCTGTCAGATTCCATCAAGATTTTTTAAGGTCATGTGACCCATAGGGTCAGATTGACCTACAGCCATTGTGTTTCTTTCATTGTCATGTGCCATGCATCAACTTTCCATTCAAACTACTTCTTCTCAATAACCAAAATTCCCATGGTACCATATTTTGTCTGTAGCATGCTGGGGTGAAGGGCTATCAAGTTTGTTCATATGATTTACCTTGATCCACTTTCAAGTTCACAGGGGTCAAATTTGTTAAAATCTTAAAAAGCAACTTCTTTTTAATAACCAAAAGGCCCACAGTGTTGTTATTGTACAGCATTATAGTATAGCAGTAGCTGAAATGAAGGGCCATCAAGTTCTGTACATAATTGACTTTGACCCACTTTCAAGGTCCAATATGTCAAATGTGTCAAAATATTAAAATAGCTTCTTCTCAACAACCAAAAGGCATAGGGTTGTGATGTTGGGCATGTACCATGCTGGGGTAAAGGGCTATAAGATTATTTATATGAATGAACTTGACCCTCTTTCAAGGTCAACTTGAGCCTCTTTCAAGGTAATGGGTTCAAATATGTTAAAATCTTTAAACAACTTCTTCTCAATAATGAAAGGTTCTAGCTGTTGATATTACACAATTAGATGAAAGGCTACCAATTTATTCCAGTGATTGACATTAACCTACTTTCAAGGTCCCTGTTGTCAAATATGTTGAGATCTTAAAAATTTCTTCTTTCAACAAGCAACAGGTTTGGGGTCATGGTATGTATGTTGTAGCATGTATGAGGAACAGGAGTTCAAGTATTTTATGAACTGACAGTGTAAGCTATAGAGTAGATGAGCAATTTAGGCCGATTTCATATGTAGGATTTATAGTCAGATGACCATTAAGGCCCATATGCCTGTTGTTTAATAAAATAATAATGTAATATTAGACTTTGTCAATTATATTAGCCAAGCCTAGAGTATTGGTGCCTGTCAAATAAATAGTGAAATAAACAGCCTCAGTTGATACAGATAACAGTGTTCATTTAACAGTGAACCTGTTCAAAACCTAGACAAGAGTCTCTTAGGGTTTTCAGCACATTGATTTTCTTAAGTTTAGAGCAATGTTAATTCTGAATTCGTTTTAGATGTTGTCAAGATGATGGACATCTTGATAAAAGTGTTGTCTCTGAAATACACATAGAATTTTTTTTAACAGGATGGAGGTACAGCCCTGTTTGTATCATGTCAATGTAACCATCTAGATGTCGTGGATGAGTTGTTGGCACGAGGTGCCGACATCCACTGTCAGATGGTGGATGGAGCTACGCCATTGTTTATCACAGCTCAGAATGGACATCTGAAACTACTGAAATATCTCATTAGCAAGGGTGCTGATGTAAACGTGAAGCGACAGGTCTGAATTTATTCTTATCACATTTATTTTGCAACATTCTGCTAGTATGACCTTAGAATGGATCGCTCCACAGTCCATGATATAGGGACTTGATATAGATAAATATTAATGTGAAGGAAATGAGTTAATACAGAGGAATTAGTAACTTATAGTACAAACACTTGTTTTTTTAATATTGTTGTTTTCTGCCATATTTAATAAGGAATCTGTTAGATTTTCTAGCAAGTTATTGTTAATGATGCAGAAACAGATATCATATATATATATAATCAATATATTGTGTTTGTTGAATATCAAATTTTTGGTTTATCATTATGGTATGAAGCAGAATTTATGTATTTTTTAACAAAAGTAAAGAGGAACACCTTTTTGGGATTTAGATATTTTAGAAACAGTGTTTTTGGGAAGGTGCATATAGGACTGATCTGGGTTTTTACATTTGAAATTTATGGTTTATTTTTCAGAGTTTAAAAAAATATAAAGGAAAAAAAAAACAAGGTTAAGAAAAAATTATAGCCACATTCGTTTGGCCTTTCATTCAAATTTACTTTTCATAAAGATTATATACTTTGACGTAAACAGATTGTGAAAATGCTACAATATTTTCTTCGTTGATATAAGCGATATCTCTATAGAAAGGAGTAAGAAAGTTACTGAGAAATGCTAGTAACACTTAACTATCATAAGTGAATCTGTTACAAATTGTAGATTGTATGTACATAATTATGTACCTACAGAGCTTGTATTAGAAGTGTTTGCTTCAGGATAAAAATTATGTAATACCTATCCTCCAGCAGTGACTGACCAAGAGACTAACATAAGTACTGCAAGTGTTTCACCATGTAGACATAATAAAGCAGGATAGGCTGTTTACTGGGTACATAAAATGTACTGCATAAGTCCTAGCCTGAAGAAATGGTCATCATAGATTTGGTACTAGCATAAAGAAATGGCAATTATAGATTTGGTCTTATCTTGATATACTACATACAGTCTTTGAGATAAAATGTAGCTAAATTTATGTTTATATTGAATTTCATATACATTATTTAATTATGACTTGCATTTGATGACAGGATCAGGCAACACCCCTTTGGATTGCATCACAGATGGGACATGTGCCAGTGGTGAGGGAACTACTGTTGGCTAATGCTGAGGTGGATGCTGTGAGAGAGGTGAGAGAGGGGAGATAACTCTTGTTGTGCTGTTGGATGATTGTCAGATTATCTGAGACAAAGTCTCATGGGGATACCATTGTGATACCATTTCGTGCAGTGGCATCCGTCATTTGTCGTGCAATCATAAACCCTTTACATTTTTTACTACATCTGGAAAACCTCGGAACCGTTTTGAATGAAATTTAGCAGACACTTTCCACAATCAAAAAGGTAAACAAAAGTTGTAAATTATAAGGCCTCCTTCCCCACCCCATTGTGACTCAGGTGTTCATTAAGACCCTTGGGGCCCATGTTCTGTAAAAACAAAATCTAAAGAAAAGTGAAAGGACAGTTGCATCACTGAAGCGAATACAAGACGATTTCAAAACAAATTCATATAGAATGATATTGTCTTCAGCTGCTCGAAAGTTGACACTTATATATGTAAATATTGCTGTACAATGTGCAAATAAAAGTTAAGATAAGTTCAATTTGCATACCATACATCAAAATATTGTATGCCTATAATTTTATATGAATATGTGTCTAGTGTCTTAATATCACAAATGATTGACCAAGGAGAATCCTTGATTTACTGAAGGGAAATAACTGGATTTTTTAGCTTCCTTGGTTGTTTACAAGTAGAAATAGTGTTACCTGTACATTTTACAATAATCTGATCACTTTTTTAAGACATTATCTAACAATTTTTTACGAAAAATTTACTTTTTATTTTCATTGCTGGTGATCTTAATGGCATCTAAATCTACTTTATGCAAAGGTCACCAGCAACAATGCCTTCAATGAATCTGTGTATGAAGGTTCCTTCTAAAGCCAAGGTCAAGGCCACTGTTACTGTTAAGCCTGACATCATGAGATGGTGGCCTGTTCAAATCTTTCTCAAATTGGTTCTCCTTGGTTCCTTGTTGTGCCCATTTGATTCTGGGATTTAGATTTTGACTTTGAAAGTTTGTTATTGCTTTTTCGTGAGCAGCACTGGATGGAAGTCTCTAAAATATCTAGTGTAGGTCCCCCTTGGTTCTGAGTTGTGTCCATTTAATTTTGGGATTGATCAGAAAAACGAAATGGCTACAGACAGCCGTCTTTGATTTTGAATTTGAAAGTTGATTATCACTATTTCTTGAGAACTACAGCATAGATCTTTAACAGTTAAATTTCATTGTATGTTTCCCTTTATTCCTAATTGTGCCTGTTTGATTTTAGTACTAATCAGAAAAATAAAATGGCCCACTGGTGGCCATCTTCCATTTTGACTTTGAAAGTTTATTATTGCTTTTTCTTGAGAAATATTCTGAAGATCTTTCTCAAATTTCATTTATAGGTTCCTCTTTGTCCCTAGTTGTGCCTGTGTGAATTTGGAAGTGATCACAAAAACAAATTTCTCTCAAATGTCATACGTTTGTTCCCATCAGTCTCTACTTGTGCCTGTTTGATTTTGGGACTGATCAGGAGAAGCAGAATGGCTTCCAGGCGACCATTTTGGATATATTTCTTCAGAGGAATATTCAAATTTCTTATCATTAAGAGCAAAAGCAGAGAAGAAAAAAGAAAGAAAGATCCAACTTTCAAAGAACAAATAAAGAACAAACAATGGTGGGCGACAAGATCCCTTTTGGATCTCTTGTTCTATACAAGCCTCACCTTTCACCTAAGTGACAGGGATTTGATCATATATTAAAAGGTATTGGGTTGCCATCCCCATCATACTCGTGAGTCATCTTCAGGGGCTCCAGCTTCCTCAACAGAAAGACTTGATTCGTCTGGGATCACTTGTTAGAAATCAGTTCAGTGAAATGACTTTTAGATTAGCTTATGTTTCAGGGTTATGTAGAAAATTATCATTTATGGAAGGGAACCAGAGAATTCTAAAACTAATATAAGAAATAATCTAGTTTTAAGAAATTTATGTAGAAACAATTATTTTTGTATTTGTAACCTTGAAAGAACATTTTGTATACTTGGATGCAGCTGTTTTTTGGTTTTCTGTTTTAAGAATTTGTTAAAAGCAAAATCTGTGTTTTTTTCTTAAATTTTAGGATGGAGCCACCCCTCTATTTAAAGCCTGTCACAAAGGTCACCTAGAGGTCGTGGAACAGCTTCTGCGATACAAACCCAAACTAGGATTGTTACAGGTATGTAAATTATATCAAGTAAGGGTCTTGAAAATTCTGATTTTGCCTTCAGAATTTGTCTTTTTTTTCACTTCTTGAAAAAAGAGGTTATTATTTGTTGCAGAATATCACTAGTAAGTTGAAAATCAGATTTTTCTTCCTTATGTTTCATGTGTTGTAGGACCTTTTTTCTAAAAAGTCTTAAGCATGGACTGTCGGATGTATAATTCTGCAGAATTCTTGTTTTCAGGCTGTTTCCATGGAAAAATTTGCTTTCATTTGTACTAAGCATAGGTTGATGAATTAGTCTCTCAAATTTTACTTTGAAATCTAGATCTTATTTTTCATGATTATTCTGAAAGAGCTAATCTAATTTCCCCATTTCTGATTGGCAGCTGATGGGCACTAAATTAAGCAGTAAGATTTTTTATTTACAGAATGGAGAGACACCACTTCATGCTGCTGCATTATTTGGCCATATGAAAGTAATCAAACTTCTTCTGTCCTATGATGTAGACACACAAATCAAAAATAAGGTAAGGCTCCTCAAGAAACTTTATCATTATTTAAAAGTTAGTCTTGCTTTACTCAGACTCATCTTTTCTGGGAAGAACAAGAAGAACTTTTACAGAATAACCATGTGGTACAGGATGCTGCAATGACTTTACCACAAGTACTTGTGTGAGTCATGGCTGACTCTTGACTGTACAGAATTCAGATTGTTTAAATTTCACATGTACAATTACTTCAGTTTTTTTTTTTTTTTTTTTGCAATAAGTACATCCTATATTTTGACCACTAATTTACTTCAAGTTAAAACTTCCCACATCAGAATAAATTAGTATGTAACTGCAGTTTTTACTTTGTGAATTTGCAACATTTCTCATCTCTTTTAAAAAAAATATATATATATACTCTGTTAAATTTAAAATAACTACAATTACTATACCCATGTTTGTTTTTTTTCTGTTGTGTCCCTCACTCTGAATCATTTTCTTGTCTTGTGAACCTCTCTGCAGATTTAGATAGGTTTTACCTCTCAGTATCATGACATTAATTACTACACTTTGATATATTGAGGTGGTCTTTAATCAAGGGTATGGGGTCAAGGGTGCTATTAGAAAATTCCTGCAATAAAAAGGCCATGCACACAACATTTCATCAAACCTGGAACAGATTTGGTTGATATTCTCATCATAGTATGGTAAGACAATTTTAAGGTTGTGTACAAGTTATTTCCTAACAATGTCATTCAATTCACACCATAGGATCATATCCTCATCCTCTTTTCACCTGATTAGATTATAGTGGTCAGGATTAAAGGGTCAAACTTTAGGAGAGGGGGCATTCACATCTTTAAGACAATTTTTAGTTTCTTTTTAGTATACAGTTTTCATTGGAACATCTACCTGCCTTAAGGTGTTTACCTGTGATCGAGATGGAGTTATCTCCTGTCATTATTATTTGTATTCTTGTGAACCTTTATCGTATGTCAGCAGTCAAGTTTTCAATGGTAGTTACCTTAAAGGTAGAAAAATGTCACAATAAGGTTGCATATGACCTTAATTGCCCTAAATATTATACTCTTTGGTATCCAGAATATCACAGGAAGCTAACATACATCCCAAAGTATCAGAATTCTTACAGTAAGGTGGCATACATCCTTAGGTGTCCAGAATGCTACCATAAGGAAGCATACATCCTTAAGTGTCAGGATGCTCACAGTAAGGTGGCATACATCCTTTAGGTGGCATACATCCTTCAGTGTTCAGAATGTTACCATAAGGAAGCATGCATCCTAAAGTGTTGGGATCCTCACAGTAAGGTGGCTTATGTCCTTTAGTGTCCAGGAAGTCACGGTAAGGTGGCATGCATCTTTCAGTGTCAAGAATGTCAGAGCTGTATATGGTGTCATATACATTTATAAATGCCCAGAATGTCACAGGAATGTGGCATGCATCTTCCAAAGTCCAGAGTGTCACAGTATCATAATCTATAAGTGTCCAGAATCTAAGGTATCTTTAACATATTGGTAACTGTTTGCATTCCAGGAAGGGAAAACTGTGGTGGAGCTAGCCAGAGAAGCAGGTTATGACTACATTGCCAAGTTTGTTGAGAGTTATGTGAGAAGTAGTACACCTAATGGCTCCACCTCCTCGTCCTGATGTAGACGTGACAGAAAATCTACGCATCTGTGATCTGAGTGTTGTTAGACCAGTTTTTTACCTGCTATAGGCAAACATTACAGGGGCTGCTTAAATAACATCATCTATGACACAGGGTTGATAGTGTGATCCTAAACAATAACTGTTATTTGCATGTTATCTCTAAATAAAATTCCCTTGTAGTCAATTGGAAGCTTAACATTAGTTATAAATCTTGATTGCAAATTTTTGAAATAATTATTTTACAATGTCTAGAATTACACGGCAACAATTTTTTTAAAACTGGCCTCAGAAAGATATGCTCTTTCTTATACCTTAATCATGTCTATAATTTTGAGTATACGACAAAGTCTCAAGTGACCTATTGTGATAGTCTTTTGTCCAGCATTCCTTATAATAATAATGGGTTAACAGTTACCAACTTCTTCTCAATAATCAAAAGGCCCAGGGTGCTGATATTGGGCCTGTAGCCTGCTGGGATGAAAGGCTACCAAGTTTGTAAAAAAAATTAATGACCTTGATACACTCTCAAGGTCACAGGGGTCAAATATGTTTAAAACAACTTCTTCTCAATAAAAAAGGGGGCATGGTATGGTGATATTCAGCCAGTAGTATGCTGGGAGAAGTGCTACTAAATTTGTTAATATTATTGACCGTGACATTCTTTAAAGGTCACAGGTGCCAAATATGTTAAATTATTTAAATGACATCTCCTTAATAACCAAAAGATCAAGAGTGCTGATATTAGGCATTTAGCATACTGGCATGAAGGGCTACCAAGTTTGTTCATATGGTTGACCTTGACCCACTTTCAAGGTCACAGGTATCAAGTATGTTACAATATTTAAACAACATTTTTTCTCAATAACCTAAATGCCCATATTATTGATATTTATTTCAAGGTCATAGGATTCATATATGTTTAAATGACTTCTTCTCAATAAACAATATGCACAGAATGCTGATCTTGAGCCAGTAGCATCATAGTATGAAGTGTTACCAAGGTTGTCTATATTATTGACCTTAACCCACTTTAAAGGTTACATGTATCAATTATGTCATAATGATAAGTGACTTCTTCTCAATAACCAAAAGGCATAGGGTCATGATATTGGGCCAGTAGCATGGCGGAATGAAAGGCTATCATGTTTGTTCAAATGAAAGACCTTAACCTTCATTCAAGGTCACAGGGGTCAAATATGCTAAACTACAACAAGAGAGAGTGTTATCAGTTCCTTTAAATTGAAAATTAAGCCTCCAAACTTAGAAACAATAAAAACTGTCTGTCTGCCCTAATGCTGGGACTGATGGACAGGTACTAAAACTGTCCAAAGACCTGAAGACTTCAGGTGACTGTTAAGGCCCATGGGCCTCTTGTTATAAGGTCAAGTTATATCTTAGCTTAAGGCCAAGTTAAGTCAGAACCAGAGGTCATTAAGTTTAACCTCAACATTAGTTATAATAGTAGACATAAGTTAAGTCATAATTTCATTCATGCACCAATTCTTTCATAACTACTAGAATGTACAATGACCCTTTGTTAAAAATATTTTTTGTTTTCAATTTCATGTTCAGATTGGTTATAATGAATTTGATCACAAATGAAAAGTTTCTAATTTTTCTCTTTTGTTATTGAATTGATTTCAAATCTTTGTTTCTCTGTAAATATGTAAAGTTTCTTTTTATTTGGTTTTCTGAGAGAAAAGATGATGGCAATTATTTTTTCCGTTGAGAAAAATATACGAAATGAGTTAGACATATTACGCTGTGACTTGATTGCTAGCAAATATACAGATAAATCTTGTAATCAAAAAGTATCCCTGTGTCATGCAGTTGTTGTGTTTGTATTAGTATTTGGTTGTCCCCATTTAGCAGCATATGTAACTGATTGTCTCAATACAACTGTGTGATTATATATGGTTGTCCCCATGTGTCTTAATGAGAAAAACAAAAAAAAGACTGTGTTATTTAAATATTTGTTAATACAATGTTTACTTGCTCTGTTTAAGGATTGTTTATGGAACAGTCAAATTGTATGATTAAACTAGCGCATTAGATTTGATTTTAAGAATACTCATTTTGCACCGATATTAATTCCGAGTAAATAATTGAGATCACACAAAATTGTTGATACGTAATATATTGTTGTTTTATTTCATGTATAAACACCATGACTTCAGAAGTCTGATTTATTCTTTCAAAACTCACATTGAAAGCGTTACTAGTAATCCCTTTTATTTAAACTAAATGTCCAAATTTAACAAATATTTCTTTTACAGAAATCTACAAATAAGACACATCAGGCATTGATTTTTAATACTGATAAATTATATGTTCACCTTTGACCTCTATAAAAGAGACCATTTTGAAAAAAATTGAAAGCACTTTGTCAGTAAATGACTATAATTTCCATTAGGGCATAGATATTTTAAGATACACATGTGACAACTATGATAAGGATATATGTAATTCATTTATTCATTGGTATTGATACGATTATGCTCTCGTCTGTATTGATCTTTGCTTTCGGGCCAGTAACCAATGAAGTTGAGTCAGGTCTATTGTTCTTGTAGTATCTTATCAGGTTTCCTCTGTGGAGACATAGCATGACTGAATGATTTATGTCGAAGTATATGGTTTTATGTATTGTGTCCTAACTTCAAGACAATATATTGGTAGTGCTGCCTTCATGTTTGAGCTGTCAAAACAGTCACCATATAAACCAAATATCATCTGTGATGTCAGTGTGTGTTTCATAAGTTTCCACAAGATATTTCTAAATAGAAACTGAAAAGGTGATATACCATTTCCTTTCAGAGATTTTTAGACCTGAAAAAAAAATCTGTTTGAATTTACAGACCTTTGTTTTAATATAAGTATGGTATACTATCAGTTTATGGGAAACATACTTTTTATGATGAATATAAAGTTGAATTTGTAAATTTTGCAAAACATTTCAATATACAGATAATCAAGGACATAATTACTCAATATGTGTACCTGTATTTAGAATAGCATGGACTACAAGGGTGAAAACAATTTCAGGGTTTTAATTACTTATAGTATTTAACCCACCGAGTTTCATGAATATTAATTGGAATATTAGTATTGTGATTAGCAGGTGTACCTCATGTGAGGTGTTTGGATGTGTATGACTTTGTTTATTAATTTATAGTCAGTGTTAACCAGGTGTAGGTGCTAATAACCTAAATATTGATCCCAGATAAGTAATCTTGAGGCATAATACAAGGAAATATAATTCATGTGGAAAGAGAAATTATGTTCTTATTAATGTAGAACAGGAGTAGGTGTTGCTGGGCTTTAATTATAGTGACACTAGTGCAGAATATTTTTATCAAAAAGAGAATGTCAGATGGACTATGAATTAGAAAATCATTGGATAATGAAGACCTGTAAAAATGTTATTAGATTGTGTTTAAAATGCTTATTTGGGAGCTAACTAGTTATATTAGGTGTATTATATATGGAAAGTGAAAGTGATTCAGCAAGTAAACAAAAATTGTATTTCCTTGCTGGTTGCCTTCATTTAATATTAATGAACACATGTAATGGGTGTGCTGTAACTTATACATTTACAAAAATCAAATAGCTATTTGTTGTATAATACTTATTTATTCATTTATATTCTTTAAACATAGTAATATATGTAGTTGAAAGCAGTTTGTTGATTATATCCTTTCAGGAGGATGATTCTGATTCTGCATCATATCATTATGTCACAGATGAAATGGGTTCATGTCTACAATTTGTTTTATTCTTGTAAATTTTTTCTTTGGCAATATCTTAGCTTACCTAGCATGTTCATTGCATATTTCAAAAATATAAATAAAATTTCATGCAGTTTAGTGGGTGTTAAAACATTATTCTCTAAAATTCATTTTTTGAAAAAGAATTGTATGATGTTTATTTTAAAGGTTTGCTAAATTGTGATTTATAACCAAAATCTTATGTCACATTCCAGTTTCTCAATTAAAATATTTGCATTATATCAAAATCTTGACAAAAAAGTTTAGAGATTTACAATCAACTTTGCATATTCTTATGCAGATTTCTATTTTAGCAACGCTTGCTTTTCTTGTTCTGTTTAGAATCATTTAGTTGATGCATTTTAAATATTTAACCAGCTTAAAGTAAAATCAACATAGAATATTATAGTTTATTATAATATATATTTAGTTTTAAAAAAAAAAATTCAAAATGGTAGTATGCAAGTTTCAAGATAATACTTTAATGCTTTATTGCTTTACCAAAAATACATCTGGATGAGTGTAGATTGACATAAGTGGCACATTAGATTTTTTTGGAGAGAGGGAGAGACAGACATGTATAATTTGACATGCCTCATGATTTTGACAAGCTATTTAGTAAATAGAATAAGTAAAGAGGTTTCTTGGAATAATATATCCATGTTTCATGTTTATCAGATAGTTATCGGAGCTAAGAGATATTTAGATATTTATTCTAGAGGAATGTAGATTTTTTCATCTAGGCAGTAAATACATTTGTAGCCCAGTCTTATAAGTTGAGAAAAAAAAGTTGGAAATTGTGCAACAGTGTTTGCCATTGTTTTAGGGAGAAATATGAGACTTGTGCAGCAGTTACTGTCCTTGTCAACTGATAAATGACTGTGAGAATTGTACAGGAGTGTGGTCCCTGTTTAGGGAGAATTACTGAGAATTGTGCTGCAGTTACCCTCCCTGTTGAGGGAGAAATGAGACATGTGCAGTACTTACTGCCCCTGTTGACGGAGAGATGACTGCGAGAATTGCACAGGAGTTATTGCCCCAGTTTTTCATTTTCTGATTCTGTAACTATATGATTTCAGAATATCTTATTGTCTTGGTGGTATTGACAATAGGAATTGGGCAACAGGCAGAACCTATGAAAGCCCTCTCCTTAAAATTCTGTAACTATGCAAAACAAGACATGATTTCATGTAGGTAGAAGATCCCAAGGGAAATGACTAGTAGAAAAGTTTGATGTTTGCTTTGAATGTAGTGCTTTGTGTAGATACTGTGTAGTTAGTGGTTCATATCGTGCTTATGATCTGGTCTTAGTTGGCCAAGTGATTAAGGTGTCTGGCATCTTTATCACTTGCCCTCCACCTCTGGGTCACAGGTTTGAGACTTGTGTGGGACAGTGGCCAGGTAATTGATGGAGATTGATGTTTTTTCTCTGGGAACTGTGGCTTTCCTCGACCACCCAAACATGGCATTCTGGCTATTTATAGGATGTAAAGCCAACAGTAAACCAAACCAAACGAAACCTTAGTTTCTAAGTTTTTTATGTGGTTGAATAAAAAACTTTATGTGAAATTTTAATCTGTCATAATAATCAGTCAATACGTATTCATAGGTTGGATAATTTATGAAATATCTCAACAACATTGTAAATCAATGTTATACTGTTAAAAATACTTTCAAGTAACATTTGATGAACATTTTCTAAATTCCTAGAACCAAGGTAATAGATAGTGAAGGATTGTCTTTATGATTGTACAACTAGATGTAGTGTTTCCAGTCAGTAAATATCAGTAGTGATGGAGTAGTGTTGTTCAGAGGCTTGGCATGAATTCCCAAACCCACTTTCATTCTATCCTTTTTCTACAATACTATACACCAATACTGAATGATGGGATTGGAATTTGTGCCAACCCTTTGTTGGGGATATTGATGAGCTAGAGTAAGCAATTAAATGCTTGTGCAATAGACTATGAACCTGCCTGTTTTGTTTTGCATTAGAGAAAAATTGCTTTACTTTTGCTTATATTTTTTATATATTTATTGATACAATATACCTTATGTGGTCCTATTTCATAAGACTGAGTTTTCATGCTGTTTTGGTAGTAACTTTTGTTTATTATGTTGACCATTCAGATCAGAAATTCTTGAGAAGGTTGACTTGACTACTAAATACACCAATAATTATTTTCTACTAAGATTCCCTGAAGAAGAATGTGTTACTATCATTTTATTGAAAAATCACTGTGAGTCAGATACATCTGGTATATGTTGAGGTCAGGTGTTAGATGACCCTATTTGGACAAAGATAGACAACTCTCGATTTCTGATAATTCCTGATGATTTCTGAGAATTATGTGTCAATTCTTTCATTCATTACTGATTCTATTGATTTTTGAACCGTTACAAAGATATAGAAAAGTTTGGAACATATTGATGAAAATTTATCATAGATTAATTTCAGTTTTAGCAATCTAAATCATATTTTATGACATCTTCCGGTGTAAGAGTATCAACAGATGATACAAAGATAACTTTTATATAATTGTACTGTTACTGTGTATTTGTGGGATACCAGAGTTATTAAGAAAAAATGTTTTTCTTTGATAACAGAATTCAACAACAATAGTAGCTAGAAATCAAAATAATGTTGTTTAAATATATTTGTACAATGCTTGTTGATGTTTAATTTTGAATTTATAAGTGTCATTGTTGTGATCCTTCGTTGACTTTGGTGCTGATTTTTTCCCTGTACTGCTGATACCACTTGTGTGATACACACCTCCTGTTAGTCGTTACCTTTACCTCAAGTTTTTTGTGTGACATCATGATTAATTTTACATAGACAAAAAAAAATGTGTCCAAAATTATCTACTCAAGTTCCAGTTGCTGACTAATTTTTAACTGGTGCTACTATGCAGTGTAAAAAGGAAATTACATTGCTATACATATACGGCAATAAGCCCAGGTGGCCAACACATTACATCCTACACAAATCAGGAATTGAGCTTATTACCAGAACTTGTCATAAATGTTAATCAACATATGATGAGGTTTCCATGGTAACCACCGTGTTCTCTCTATTATGTGCCTCTTCTACTGCAGGTCGCATAAAAATGAAATATTATTCTATATTCACACTGTAATACTTCTGTATAAACTAACGAGAAAGAGGGATAATTTGAAGGACGATAGAACAAACAACTGTTTTGATGTTTTAATTTAGATATGGAGATGGTATTTTGTCTGATAAATAACATTTTAGATGATACACATACAGATCGGAGTGAAAGTTGTATCCTAATTTTAAGAGCTTTTCCAATATTTAGGGCTTTGATTTTTAAATCTGATATTAATTACTCATCATACCAAATTTTCAGTGCTCCTTATGTTGTAAAGTGTACCTAGGTGCCTGATACAGGGAATACAGTAACCAGATTAATCAATGATAAAATGTTTTTTTTTTACCTCAAATGGAAGATATGGTCTTGCACATTGAATGTTTAATATGATTTTGCAGATTCCTGTAATGCTTTTGTTTTCCCAATGGCCAAAATGTATTGATCTATGTTTGGAGTACAGTGTAAGGATGCAATTGTAAAATTATTATAAAGATTGTGCATGAATGTGTGACCCTGGGTGACATGACTGTGTTGATGAACTGTTTGTACTTCAATAGTAGTGGGGGGTTGTGTTAAGTGTCAAGGTCTTATTAACACCACAATGATAATAATAATATCTATATAAAATAATGATGGGTTTTTATTTATATTTTACAGTAATTCGAATTTGATTTGATAATTATATGCAGAAAATGTACTAGTTAGAGACTTATTAGTCCGGAAGAAATAGTGTTATCTTGTGTATTTATGGTATAGGAGATAGATGTAACAGTAATTTTGTAGTAATTACAGATATATTACGCAGTTTTCATTTACATACTACATACGAAGGCCATCAGTTAGCATATCACAATGTTGAGAAATCTTTTTTCATAAATCCCATCGGCTTCTTTATTTCCCTATGTAAACTAGCTTTGGCGTCAAACATTTCACTAAATATAAGGGTTATCTCCCTTACGGGTTTTAATCAACAGTATTAAAGTGTCAAGATGCTGATGTTAATTTGTATTTACAATAATTCATAAACATTGATTAATAATGTGAAATTACTTTTTCTGGTCACACTTGATTCCACACCACTTTTTCTCTGTCACAAGTCAATTTTGTAAAGCAAAAGAAAATTTGCAGTGGATTGTAAAAAAAAAAACATTTCGATTAAAATTGAAAATTGAAATGTAATTGATTTACTGTATAAGTCCAGACATTGTGATGCAGTGTAATACTGTTAAGTTGCTATACACAGGTGGCCTCTGTTTTGCAAATATGATTTACAAACTATTGAAATGGTTTACTTGCAAGCATTTGTTGAGCTATATTTATATTTTTGATTATTTTCAGAATATGTACCGATGCTCATTAATAAAAATTACCTTATTTTAATGTTGGCTCATTCGTTTTTCATTTTGTTCAATGTAAATTGATCACTAGCTTTCACCAGTACCTTGATGTTCACTGCTCGTGGCTATTTGTGTTTGGAAGACAGCTGAGACAGGGCACGTGCTCTTGTGATTGTGTCTGCATGGACTGATATAATTTGACAAAAGATTGACTTTCTTCTATTTCTATTCTGTTGGTCTTGTTCAGTAACTGTATTATAGTACAAAAAGAAATTATTATAACATTTTAAACCAATTCTGGTCTTTCACGTGGTTTCACGTACCAATCTGGCGTAAACCAAAATTAAACAAGCTAATGTAAATTCGCATAGATCACGAAATAATTAGAGATATACTGATGCAGAAAAAACTATAATTGCGTTTATGTACTATTTGTGAAACTGAATTAAACTTGCTGTACTGAGTAACTAGAAAGCGGATAATCGGAAATACAGTTTTTGTGTGTAAAAGATCTGTGTATTTAGTTCAAAAGCTAGAATTGAAAATACTTTAGTAAAATATCTGTGGCATGAGTATAAAAATAAGCATTCTTACTGAAATGGGTTATTGTCAAGAGCTCATAACCCGATGGCGTTCAGAAGTCGGGAATGTTTTAAAACAGTTGCCAGTGAAGCGGACAATGACCACCATATTTGTATATGCAAATGAAATTACGTACAACGTATGTCAAAGTTGCTTCTGAAACTATAACTTCGCACTAGCGATGGACGCAGCCTATTGTATCATTCTAGCTCACGCATACAAAACATCATAATTATTTCATCATAATAAAATCATGTGATCAATTACGTGCATCACGTGTCAACTACTATGACATCACGTGATTAGTTACATGTATCACGTGTCTGTTACCATGACGTCAGAATCAATTGTCTTTGACTTGTGACCCGCCAAAAGCTGCGAACGATCGATCCATTTGCTCTTCTTTTAAACACTTCAAGATTTCTTCTTTCCAAATTTAAACAGGTATGTCCATGCTTTAGATCTTTGAATTAATCAACGGTATTGTAAACTAACGCTTCGATAAACATATTTAATTACGTTTTCTTTTTCAATGATCGTATTTAATTGATAACAACATATATATAATTCATATAAAAGTTGTCAATTTCTGGACTATAGGTACAACAATGCTATTCTTGACTATCATAACAAGAGTTGTGTACTGGTATATGGACCACAATAACCCCAACAAGTGTATGAAACAAGGTAAGTTCATTGGAGATATATGTTTTAAAACAACTTGTTTTTGAAAATGTTAAATTCTTCATATTTGATTCCTATTCAACAACATCAAATGCGCGAAAATCGTAACTTTGACCCGGAAAATTTGTTTTACATGAAGTAAATGAGAAACCGATCTGATTTTTGATGATATCTTTTGTATTCTATTGTTCACCAAAAAGTTTGCGTATTTCCAGCAATTATGACATTGGCCTTCGTGTTGGTTTCAGAAAAATCATTGAAGAAACAAAAAAGCTGTGTTAAAGTAAGTAAACTTTTTGAGCATATCCTATTATTTAGCAACATTAGCCGCACGAGGTAAAATAATATTTACTTTGTAGTGGAAATCATATTGCGGCTGTCAGTTACTCATTTGGCGACAAAAACATTATTGACTAATGGCATTCTAGATGGCTGGCTTCGATATCAGCATAGAGAAGCATTAATCTAGTTGTCGGTCTCTCAAAAGGAGCTGGGGATAATTTCTCTAAGACGTACTATACGTTCAATCGTTCGGTCAGTAAGGCATTACTCTAATGCAAGGTGAAATCTCCCTGGTACGTGGTCCTATCAGGAAGCTGAGAGCACGGACCGTGTTATGGTGGTTGTGTCCTTGGGGTAACACTTTATCCCATATGTTGTGGATATCCCGCATGCTGGTCAGGGAGTTAGTCACCAATTACAAGAATGATAAGGAGGTCCCGCCTCAAAACAAGACCATCTGCTCTCAAAGCGGGCATAAAACCCAACACAAACATGATCGAATGAGTTATATTATTGAGTTTAAATATAGGTCAGGAATGTTGAATCCGATTACTCGAAATATTGGAACGGTACATAATATTGAAACAACTCGTAGTGATAACCGAAGTGGCTGCCTGCAGACCATATTAACCCAAAACATGATAAAATCGCGGTGCCAGATCAATTATTTTCACAATCAAAACAATTATTCTAGATGGACGTTCTACGTTTTCAGTTAACGGTTGTTTTTAATTTTCAGACTGTGAGGATTGTAGAGCCAGAAAAGACAGCGAGTTTTGTTTATATGTCTACAGAGAATACTGTTACGGCGGTAAGAACCATTCTGGCGAACTTTTTATGTCATGACGTGTTGTGGGTTGTCTGACGGATATTGAGTCAGGAATACATAGTGTAGTATAGGTTAAGGTGTGATTCTAATCTTTTCCACTTTGGCAGAAAGTTGAGATCAACAGTTGAAATAAGTGAACAGTTTTTTAAAAGCTACTTCTCGTGTTTCGTATTGATCATTAACTACGACAATAGTAACAATGACAACGACGATGACGACAAAAACAACAACAAAGATGACGATGTCGACCCAACAACAACAACAACAAAAACAACAACAACAACACAAACAACAAAGACAGCAACAATAACAACTTATTTTTATGCTATATTTTCTTTCATTAGATGGTTTAGCTTCTTTTGTTATCGGTACAACTTGAAGTATAACCTATATCTACGGAAGTTCTTGTTGCAGATTGAAGAATCACAAAATGACGTAAACAAATCCTACATTCGGACCAAGACCGAATACAAATGTACAGGCTGTACAAACGAGGACACCACCAGGAGGAACCGCTGGGACAAGAATGAAATGGACTACATGGGGCAGGATTCATTCGACAACATCAAAGCCAAGCTCAACCAAAGCATGGGTCAATAGGTTGTCTATATGTGGTGTGGAACTATGAGGTTCGGTATAATGTTGCGCAGCGTGGACAGCTCTACATATCTGCCCCTGCTCGTTGAGTGCAATTCATGATGGTAACCATATGCTTGGAGACCTCCGATTAATCTACCTGTTGTAGATTCTTCAACCGGGACGTGACAAGAAAAACAAACCTTCATCTATCCCAAACCAAGACCGAAAAGTAGAAAAAAAATAGTAAGATAAGAAGGGAAAGTTCGATAGTTATCATTCATGTACGGCACAATTCTTCTACTACTGCAGTCGGTTCAAGAACAGCAAAGTTAAAAATATACAAAGCACCGTCAACAACTACCAACCAAACCGGAAGTTGCCTTAAACACCATCGAACCAGACAACAGTTCATGAACAATTCCTGAATTCATCATGAAAACAACAGATCAAGCACGTAATTGAAAGAAGTTCGAAAGAAGCTAATGTCGTCCCTACACACCAACTCGAACTGAATCAAAAAGTGCTAAGAACACAATACGCTGAGTAATACCAGGAAGTTATTCAAGTAAGGCTGAACTGGAAAATTTAGAATCCGTGATTTATTGACCAGTTGAACATATTAAAATATAAAGAATCAGGGTTTCATTTTAGTCGTGTCGTCCATCCATACTGATTGACTATTGTCTATTCTTAATGCTGTTTTGAAACATTTTGAAGATTACATATTCATTGGAATAAAATTTTGATTAATTTACTTTTGTTCAGACTTCATAAACGTGATAACACTTTATACCCTATGATTTGGTTCAGGCAATCCCCCAGAATCAAATCGAGATTCTAAAAGAGAAATGGTTTTTAAGTCCAGGTCAGCCTACTGGTGGCTAGACACGATGCGGTCATAATGTCTGAAAAGGCGAGAATGAAAGAAATTAAAAGTGGCAGTTGAGGAGCCTGATGAACCCATCTATTGATAATCAAGGTAATTCTGTATCAGAAACTCCGTTCAGAGACAGACTGTCTGTCACAAATTGTGTTAGGTCGAGATTTGTGACGAGAGGTCAAGGGTTTTAACTTATTGCTGTTTCCCCCTGGTAAACACTTCATACCACCATCAGACACTGGAAACAACAATTATCTACCAATACGGCAGCAATGAAACGGATTGGGTAATTATCTGGCACGAAAACGGCCACTGGAAAGGAACTTCCAGCAATGTTCAGTGTCTATTCTCAGCCAGAACGACAGTTCTGTTGCAGTAAGGCGATATTGATGAAAAAAGACAAAGGTAGATCGATCGATTGCCATACTCAATGAATTAAACCAAGTTACAAGGGTTTAATGTATAGTTTGTTAACTCTTGTATGTCTTAAAATCATTGTTAGTTAGTTGCGCCTTACTCTTTTTGAAAACAAACAAACAAACAAACAACAAAAGCAAAAAAACAAGCAACATCAAAGACAAAGAAAAGTTAAGAGCAGATTCTGCTTCTCTCCTGTCATTGAATCTCCTTTTCAAATCTGTAGTGGATCTGTAGACGAACATTTACTGTATAACTTCTGGTATCACTCCGAAACAACATCAAACTCACAAAGCCATATTATCAAAAATACGGTGTTGATATTTTGTGAAGTATTGTCAATGTTTACTGTGGAAATAAATTAATCCGTTTTTTTTCTTGTAAATGGAAATGAAGACTTGTTCACGTTCTGACAGGGAAGTGCTAAGCTATGATTTTTTTTCTAAATACTCTGGCATTTAACTGAATTGGACGCAAGGATATTTTGAGGATAAATATCTGGAGTGTGACAATTCAGGGGATTTTGATAATATTCTTAATTTCGAAATCACGCAATGTATATTAATTCATAAGAGTTATCTCGCTTTAACTTTTATTTACAGCTTTCAAATATTCTTATATCTCTGTGAAACGAAAGGGTGTAAACATTCTCTGTCCAAAATTAAAGGGATTGGATTAAAAAAAAACAAAACAAAAAAAAAACCAAAAAAACAAAAAAACAAAAACACACTGCTTTCTGTTATGACATCACGAGAGCTTTAGAAGGCTTTGATGACACAATGAATCAAGTTTTAATGGCATGAAAAGCGGAGTCGCATGAACTTAGGTCAAGGTCACATGGGTTTGACCAATCAAAATAGTGTTTTCTATTCATCGTATGATTGTAGATTTCCTCTGTCTGGTCTCTGTCTGTCTGTTCGGGCAAATGATGAAACGAAACTCGGTTTTTCTCAAACTCTTCATATGTATATGATATTTAATACCAATGAATGTCCACTTATGTATATTTCTGGGTTACACAATGCTATTTCTTTCTTTTCTTTAATTCTCAACCCACCATCTATATACATGTAGGGCTGGGAAAATTTAACTTTTTTTTCTTTAATTATGTTTTTTATATTCTAATTGTCGAAGACTGTTGAAACGTCCTCTCGTCTCTAATAGGTACCTCAATATCTATGCCGAACTCTCAGAATCTAATGTTGTTGCGATATACAGTAACAATGACCTTGTTCATACAGAATGCCCTATGACGATGTTATGTCTAGTACGTTGCAGAAATCACATATTAACATCACGATCATTTTGGGATGTTTGGTGTACCCGCCCCCGCCCCCAAAACCCAGTTCAGGATTATAATAGATACTATATATATATCAAGAACAAAAAATTAAATAAATTTAAAATCTCTTTCAACGATAGAATAAATAATTTTGATGCTAAGTAAAGATAAGTTTTGGAAACTCGTCAGAAATAACTATGTGGTAAGCGGACATTTAATGGAATATCTTCATATATCACTCCACCGGGACGATGAAAACGTAGAAATTGGAGTAACTGTATACGTTCGTGGACCACGGCACTTTGAAGTTCATATATAGCAAGACAATTACAATATTATAACGACGCTTTATTCATTCTATGGCTTTGGCCTTTCAAAAGATCAGAAAAAAATATAAAGTGAAAGTAGGTGAAAACGAGAATCGGGATGGGGTAGAGTAGGTGTCGACAATTCAGGTGTTCCTATAACCTTGAAGTCAACATCGTGGCCTGTTATCATTATTCTGGCTTAGCTCTAATACCACTAACCAGTCATAACATAAAGGAATGGAGATGACAATTAAGGAAACAAAGGAAAGACTTATAAAACTCTGTTACTTTGTCCGCCTCGTTATCTAAGTGGACATTCTAACACAGAACATGATTTTAAATCACCATCCAGCGGAATTATTTTTGATAGTTCGTGGTAAGTAAAGCGCACGTGCTTTAATGTAAATTTTGATGTACATACGTCACTCATCACTCCCAAACTGTCTGCTACTCGTTAATGTTTTGATTAACCAGTATTCTCTTTGATACATGCGTGCGTGCGGTGTAGTTCCGAGGCCATCTCTGCAAGAGTGCATTGCGATTCCCTACAATAGACTGGAGTTCTTCCTGTAGTTGTTCTACACTCTACTGCGCTTGTTGAAACTCTAAGCGAAGTCTAGCAGAGAAGAGTTGTAACTAAGGCAGGTAATCCACTTAATACCTAAAATCGTGGCTATATGTTCGGGCCCTAGTTTCACGAATCTTCCTTAATTCAAGGAATTTTCCCTAACGTAAAATTGCCCATAGGAAAGCAATACAAAAGTTAGTGAAACTTCCTTAAGCTTAAGTTTCTTTTTCAAGAAATCTTTTCTTTGAAAAGATTCCCGACACCTGGTAGAAATTGTTCGTAAGGTACGTGATGAAATCATCTATCACAGATGTTTACAATAACAAAATTTTGTGACGTATTGATCAATCGTCAGTTTACATCATATCGTACAGCACGTGCTTATCTGTATCAATCTTACGTTTCTTATCTTCCGTTTACTTATATCATCTACTCTTTACATATCTAGTAAACAGAGTGCGCACAATAAAGCGGCCAATCCAACCCTGAACCCCATATATTATTAACGTTATTGGAAAGTGCCGACTGGTCACAAAATCAAAACAACCCTGGCTCCAATTCACATTAGATCGACACATTGTCTAGATGTGGTGTGATATATATAACTATGGTGTGCAAATACGTTTTAAAGATGAGATACGTATCATGACAATGGTAAACAAGATCAGCCTTTGCCTATACTGTTTCCATTTACTATGGAATCGACTTCTCAGAATGGTGAAACGTATGCTGTCGTTACCGAAGCATGCACACGAGACGAATAGACTTTTCTTACAGTAAAACGTAGTGGAATGGTGTCGGTTTGCCAATATATGCCAGATAAGATTAATTTGATCATGTGCCACGATCTGGGAGTGTTCTCGTCTATTCATCGTCCTTTATTGTCATTCAAACGACCTGTTTTGCCCAAATACCACGCCAAGAGATGTGCGAAGGCAACAACCAATTAGTCGAATACGCCCTACCTAGGGCTGATGATATGATAGAATGCTCAGGTAGGATATTTGTACAGCATCATGAACGTCATCCAACCCCTGTAACGACATTTTGTCACAAACGCATTCTCATCCACTCTTACAGAATACATGGCACTTTTCACAGTACATATCAGATAATGAAATTTTCATAATAGAAATATTGTCCATTCCATGCTGGTACGAAAGAAAACCCCAAAAAACGCACGCAAGTTTCGCCGTTCTTTGTGAAAGTCTCATGAGACAATCTCTCCATTTTCTGAAGAAAAGTTAACTATGTCACCAGAACTACCTTATCAAGAATGCTTCGTGAGTACACAGAATGACTGCTCTGATTCTTTATTCTTTGAAATGTGATTAGCGGCATCTTCCATAGATGTATAAAATATGGTGTAGAAACACTCGTTTTGTTGTATTGTATAAAATATAATTCAGAAACACTCGTTTTTTGTTTTATTGTTTAAATATAATTTGGACACATTTGTTTTGTTTTATTACTTGACCCCATTTGACTGTTCAATCGATCGTTTCAGTCATATATGGTGGTAAATTGATTTGGCGGCCTGTCCGGTTTGTCTCGTTATTTAATTCG